AAAGCGTTCCCGCAGCCCACAGGGGAGGGAGCTGACTAAGACTGTCAGAGGAGTCATGGGGTATGCGGGGTGATGGAGAGTAGGGGGGACGGAAGTCAAGGGAGCCAGATGATGTCCCTCAGGCCACATTATCCTTTCCCTGAGCAACTGTATCCACCCCCTCACCAGTCAAGGACCTCCACATCCTATCTTAGGCCCCATCTTGTCTTTCCTGACTTCAGGCACACAACAAAACTGCCTCAGAACATCTGTCTGTGTGACTCAAGGTACATCACACTAACCTCTCACTCCTACCTCCCCGGGTCACCTGGGATCCCATCCTCAGCTCTGCGTCCTCTATTCCCATCTTCAGCTTTCAGAGTCCCACATCCAAGTTATAAACCTCAATGGCATTCTCGACCTCACCTCCAGTGGCCAGTAAACCTTGCCAATCCCACTTTTAAAATCTCTCTCAAACCATCACTTCTTCTCTGTCCCTCCATTCCTTCTATTCAGGTCTGCATTGTTCTTCCCGCCGATTACAGCAGCCACAAAACTAGACTGCTTATCCCAGACTCTGTTCCAATTCATGTACCCATTCACCCAACAACTGGATGCAAGGGTACTGCGACAAATGGGATGTACAAAGAAAGTACCTACTTTATAGTGCTTGCTTTTTTTTTTCTTCAGGTTTTGTAACCATAGGGCGTGTGTGCTTACCAGAGAGAGACAGAGAGAGAAGGAAGGTGAGAAGTCATCCCCCAAGGAAATAGCCATACCACAATCCCTTCTCCTCCATGCTCCTCATGTACATGTGCATGCACATGTGCCCAGCATGATTTCCAAGATGCTGGGTCTGGGATTTGAGCTTTTGGTTGGCCATGCAGGATGATTCTAGCACCTTAACCACCACACCACCTGTTGGCCCCAGTGTTTGCTATTTTTAAGTTTTGATTTATTTCCTGAGGGGAAGAATAAGCACCTTTGACACAGTCTTCAAGAGTGATTCTCACCCAGTCCCGCAGCTAGCCAGAATCAGGTGTTGCCACGGGACCTGGACAAACCAGGAGCCTTCACACATGGTCCCTAGCATTTCACAGCAGCGCTCCTACGCCTGTGCCACCACGGTGGGGCCCTGGAACTTTCTATTCATACACACTAACAAACTTCCTTTATAAAAATCTTGTCATGGCACATCCTAGCTTCAAATCTTCAACAGCTCATTGCCAACAGGATAAACGCCTAGCCTGGTCCATAAGGCTTTTCAAATAGTGAGCAAACCCTACCCTTTCAACTCTTGTTCTCCAACCCTCTCCTAGACTGCTTACACTCCAGGCACACCCAGCTACTTCTTCAGGCTTCTGGCCTTGGCTAATATATTTTGTGCCTAGGACACTTTTTCCTTTTTCTCCCCTTCACACCCAGAGATTCTCCATGCCCTATCATGGATCTCACCACGTGGTATGGAAGTTATGTTTAGAAGTCTTTCTCTTGTGTGAGTGTGAGCTCCTTGAAGGTCAGGAACTACATCACAGTTGCTTTTGGGCTCAGAATGAGGGTAGACCCCTATCAGGCACTCGGCAAGCCTTTGAAGCATGAGAAAGCAAGGAAGAAGCATAGACAGCTGGCTAGGTTAGGAGGCAAAGGTCAGGAAAACTGGGAGTGCAAATTTCACCTGATGAGCTGTCCCAAGCATTTATTTCATTAAATACCCTGGTCCCTCTCTGGGCTCTGAGGGCAGAGCTTCCTTCAGAGGTATGTTTCTCCGAGTACAGGACAGACAGACATCTTTAAATAATATCAGGCAGGGGTAGGATCCTCCTCTTATTCCTTTCAATACTTCCGATGTGACTGGAGAAAAACCCTGGTCTCACTTTAAATTCATGACTAATACTTTTCAGTGGGTCCTTACTGTGACCCAGCAATTTGACATTTCTCTCACTCACTCATTAGACTATTTCATGTTTTCTCCTGGCCTCTGCAACTCATTCTTAGCTATTGATCTTTCTTCCTATTTCTCTGTAGAAACTAAGACAGGAGAAGACCTTCCCCACGGTCCCAACTACTCTAGTTGGTTTTTGCATGTTTTGCCATGCCTCCTGTTAACTAGGAATGACCTGTGTGCCTAACTCACCAGGTGTTCTCTGCACATGGGCAATAAGTCCCATTACTTCTTGCTTATTAAAAATAAAAATAAAAAAAAAATCACTCCAGTAATTGTACTCTCTCCTTCTTCCCATTTCCCTCCTGCTACTAGACCATTCATTCATCAGCTTACAAACATGCTCTACTTTCCCTCACAGAAAGAAAAACAAAACATTTTTAAAATTCTCAAACCGTCTTCCAACTTCGGCTATTGCCCCATGTCTCCCCTTTCTAGGAAAACTTCCAAACAGCTATCTTCCCCTCTGTTTCCAATTCCTTACCGCCCATTCTCCTAGAACCTAGGCCAATCAGGTTTTACTCCTACCACTCCTAAAACTACCCAAGTTCACTGAAGATCCCCATCTCCTCCTCCTGAACAACCTCTTGACTTGGCGTCCAGGATGGCATTCACTTGTGTCTTCTATCTCAGTGGCCTTTCCCTCTCAGTCTCCTCTGCTAGTCCCTTCCAGTCCCTTCCCAGTCACTAAACATTTACATGGTCCACGGCTCAGGCCTTTCCATCAACACTCCGAGCCTCTCCACTTTGAAATCTATCTACATTTATAGCTCCAATCCAGGGAGAGGATGAATTCCAGACTCATATATTCATTCAATGACATATTCAGAGCCTCCACTTAAATATCTAAAAGGCATATAGATACCTAATGTGCTTAAAACCAGAACCTTCAATCACTCCCCCTATCTGTTCTTTCCATTTTTTCCCACTTTAGAAAAACAGAACTTCATCTTTCAAGTTGCTCAAGCCAGAAGAACTGGAGCCGTCCTTGACCCCTCTATCTCACACTCCACATTCAGTCTGTCACCAAATCTATTTGGCCCTCCCTGAAAATGTAACTAGAATACAATCATGTCTCCACCACTTCCTTTAGGTTCTAGTTAAAATGTAACTAGATTCTAGTTAAAACGTAACTAGAAAGCTATTGCTTCTCACCACTCTCAACCTGGTCCAATTTATCATACAGTAACCTCTTAACCAACACCTTACACTTCCAACATATCAGCTAGAGCAATCTTTTCACAGTCTAAATCAAACCACGTCACTTGACTCCTCAAACTTTCCAATAGCTTCCTATCTCAGATTAAAAAGCCATTTCAGCAGGTGGTGTGGTGGTTAGGGGCGCTGAACTCCCACATGGCCACCCACAGTTCAAGTCCTAGACCTGGTGGCTTGTTTTCTCATTTTCCTTCTCTCTCTCACTCTGTCACTCTCTAGTCAAAATAAAATAAGTATAATGAAATAATTCTTTTTTTTTTGGGTGGGGGAGCTTTTTGCTATAGGGCGCATGCCCTCACCAGAAAGAGACAGACAGCAAGAAATCACCCCCCAGGAGGGATGGTCATGCTGCAATCCCTTCTCCTCCATTCTCCTCTCGGGATCTTGGGCGTGCACACACACGCGCCCAGCATAAGTTTAAGCCACCGGGTCCAGGACTCCAACCACGGTCAAGAACATGAGAGTCCAGCGACAGCCATTATGCTAACTACTGGTCCCTTTTTTTATTGGGGGAGCGGGGAAGGATTAAAAAAAAAAAAAAAGGTCATTTCAACTATAAGGCCTACAAAATTTGGCTACCCCTTAAGCTCCGGACCTCATCTCCCACTCTCTTCCTTGCACACTCTACTCTGGTCACAATGCCTTCCCTCATACTCTCTGAACACTCTACACCTCAGGGCCTGTGCACCTGAAGATGCTTTTCCCAGATATCCACATGGTTTACCGCCTCATCTTCTCCCTTTTTTTTTTTTCTCAAATGTCACATTCTCAGTGATGCCCTTCTTCATTACTCTATTTAAAATTCCCTCAATCGTCATCCTTGATTTTTTTCATCATATTTATTACCATCTAACTTTTACCTTGCTTAATTTATGTTGCTTATTGTCTATCACTTCGTACCAGAGTTCTGAGAGAGCAGAGACTTGTATTTGCTCTGTTCAGAGCTGTATCCTCAGGGCCAAGAAAGTGCTGGCATATGGAAGTGGCTCCAAGGGTGATTTACTGATTGGATAAAATGTGAAATTCTCAGTTTGCAGCAAGGATCTTTCAGTACTCCACAACTGCTAATCCTATTTTAGGATTCTGTGCCTCAGCAGGTAAAAGAACCAAGTCTGGATTTAGTTTAAAAAAAAAAAAAAAGTTTTGCTTTCTAATTACTTTTTATCTATTTAAAATACTGGATCTCTAGCAACAAGGTCACTTTAACTGAATACATGTCTCTAAGTTTAAAAAGTGAGTCCCTTCTGAAAAATAAAAAGGCACTGAGAAATCCTAATGTAACTTGCACAGGGACAAGGCAGAAAGAGAGTGGAATCTGAATAACTGAGTTTAGGAATTCTCTAGACTAGAACTTCCATATAAAATACTGAAACCCAGCTCAATCTGAATTTTAGTTAAACAATGAATGGGTCTTCTTTTTTTAGTGTATGTTTCAAATACTGCATGGGACACACACTAAATATTATTCGTCGTTTACATTCAGTTCTATTTCAACTGGGCATTTACTTTCTAAAATTTTTGCCTAATCTGGCAACCCTATCTTAGGAGAACAAAACTGCGCCCCGCTTGTTGCTTCCATTTCACTCTATTAGAACGAGCTTGTAGAACTCTTGTCCTCTCTACCGGCTTGCGAACTTCTATGCCCCAACAAATGGACGCCCTTGGGGGTACTAAGTTCCAAACGTTCTAAAAATCAAAGAGGCAAAGAGGCACAGTGCACTTGGGGAGGGGGACGGCCCTGACACCTCAGAACAAGCAGGCCGCATCTGATAGGGAGCAATACCGGGCCCGGCACCCTTTCCCAGCCTCGGTCCCCAGCCTGGAGGAGGCCAGGAGCTGGCAGCCGCTTTCCAGCCCTTACCAATGTTGCCTTCGATGGAAAGCCTTCGTGGCCCGCGCCCCGCGTGCAGGGCCCTGGAGAAGGGCGCGCCCTCAAGTGGGCGCTGGGCCATGAGACTGAAGGGTGCTCGAAGCCGACGTAGGAAAGACCGGCCCGCGGCCATCCCACCCACGGCTTCTGCAGCAATCACTTCCTCCGACAGCACTTCCGCCCCAGGAACCGCTGTTCCCGCGCTCCGGCGCGCCTTTGACGTCAGGAGATCGCCGGCAGGAAATGGGCGAGGTTGAACCGGCCGGGAGGGAGGGCCCTCTCTGTTACCGCGATGTTTGAGAAGAACCATCGCGAGAAGGAGAAGACTTGCACTGGTGCGGCGAAGTTTGTTGATGAATGGAGTTGAAACTGCTAGTGTAGCCCTCTGTCTTTGTCCTTTGAACAAATACATTTAAAAAGACGCGTAACTCTACGATTCTACTACCTTTGTATTTTTGCATAACTTTAAAATATATTTCATAACTGGGGACAAATAGAAAGTAATTGGAATTTGGGGCCAGCAGGTGGCGTGGTGGTTAGGGGTGCTGGACTCCCACATGGCTGACCGCGGTTCGAGTCCCGGACCTGGCGGCTTGCTTTCTCACTTTCTCTCTCACTCTGTCCCTCTCTGGTCAAATTAAAATAAATAAGTGAATGAATAAATAAAGTTAAATAAAATAATTATTAAAAAAAAGTAATTGGAATTTAAAGAGATTTCTCTCTTTTTCTCCCCAGGTGTTTGTTGTCTGGTTTTTATTCTAATACGGGAAGAAAGGGGAAGGTTTTAAGTAGGAAAAGGATGCAATCTCATTTTTTAAACAAATTAATCCTTTTTCATTCCCTATAACTCACAACACAAAATGTGGTACGTTATTGAACAAATTAACAGAGTAGTTCATTTTCTCTTGAATAAATAAATGTTTGTTCAGTGTATTTGCACAAACAGCCAAAAATCCCTTCGGATAAATAGGTGGAAGTTTGGGGCGGGAAGGTGCCCTGGCGGTTAAGGCACTGAATTACCACATGGCTGACCACCGTTTGGGTCCCTGACCTGGCTGCTTGCTTTCTCACTTTCCTTTTCTCTCCCTGGTCAAATTAAAAAATAATAACAGGGACCAGCAGATGGCATAATGGTTACCTTGCTGGACTCTCACATGGCCGACTGCAGTTTGAGTCTGGATCTGGGCCTTGGAACTGGCACTGGACACGTGTGTGTGCATGCCCAAAGTCCAGAGAGGAGAAGGGATTGCGGCACGGCCATCTTCCAGGGAGTGATTTTTTGCTGTCTCTGGCTCTCCAGCAAGCACATGTGCCCTACAGCAAAAATCTCTCAATAATATAATAATAACAAATAAAATAATAAAGTAATTCTAAAAAATAAAAAGGTGGTGGCTCAATGGTGTGACTGGCACGTGTTTTAATCTGGTAGACCTGGGAGGGTTCTGAGAGCGTGAACAATGGCATGGGGGCGTGAGCAGAGATTCAGAGTGGGACTCATAAGAGGTTGAGAAGAGCCAGGGTAAAGACGTGCTGGCGAGGAAAACTTGAGTCCGCTGTCCATAGAGAATTGTGCTCTGTGAGGGACAGCGATCTGAGCTGCTGCCACTCTGTGAGGCCTAGCCAGTTTTGTCCTGCCGCACCCTTTGGTCACACAGTCTCATAAGTAATGACAGGAAATGTCAGAGGTGCTTCCAGTTCCCATCCCTTAAACCAGAAGATTCATACCAGGGCTCAACTGGGATTCAAGCATAGGCATTCAAGCAGCACTCTTAGATGGGGGAGGTTTTAGGAGACTAACGTCTGATTGCAAGGTGGGTAGGGTGGGGCAGGGCTGGGACACTTGTCATGTAGCTGTTTGAATAGAAGGTATAGGACCTTTTAAACTACATTGATGTTTACAGGAGATGGTTGAAATCATCTTTGTAATTTTTTTTTTTTTTGGAGAGGTTTTTGCTATAGGGTGCATGTGCTCACCAGCAAGAGAGAGAGAAAGACAGAAAGCAAGAAATCACCCCCAGGGGGGATGGCCACACCGCAATCCCTTCCTCTCCATTCTCTCGGGATCTTGGGCACACACGCACATGCGCCCGGCGTGAGTTTAAGCCACCGAGTCTGGGACTCGAACCTCTGTTGACTACATGGGAGTCCAGTGACATAGCCATTATGCCAACTGCTAGTCCCTGTAATATTAACCTCATTATTAAAAAAAAAATAGGCTGAAATTTTGTTTAGGGTAACTTGAGTGTGGTGTATAGAGACCAGAGCAGCTAAAGTCTGTCCCATTCCTATTCCTATCCCCACTCCACAGCCACCTCTGTGTAAAAACACGGCGTCTATTTCTTTACCTCATAAACTCAGACTAAAAAGTCTGAGAGGTCCTCCGCTTCCTCAGGGCCTCACTGCCTATGGGTTCATTGTGAAGGGTAAATGAAGAAGTTGTCTGCAAGCTTAGATGCAAGCAGGAAATTAACTTGCTCCTAAAAATTAGAGTTCCTAAAAGTTATTATTAAAAAATAAAATTATAGTGAACTACATGTATGTAGTGAGGAAAGAGCATATATGAGAAGACTTCACGTGAAAAGATGGAATTAAAGTACAAGTTTATTTTGGTGCAAAAAAATTCAAATCCATGCTTATTATTTTCATAACATTCATTTTCTGTGAACTTTTTGAAGACTCCTTGTAGGTAAGTGTATATATAGTTCAATAACATTTTCACAAACAGAATACTTTCATCTTATCCGAATTCAGATTTAAAAATAGAGCGGTCAGCATCCCCATGTCATCTAGTTATTGTCCCTGAAAGCCTGACCTTTTTTTTGGGGGGGGGGGAGATTTTAGCTACAGGGCATGTGTACTCGCCAAAGAGATAGAGAGAGACAGAGAAACAGAAAGCAAGAAATTGCCCCCCCAGGGCAGATGGCCACGCTGCAGTCCTTTCTTCTCCATTCTCCTCTTGGGATCTTGAGCACGCACACACGTGCACCCGGCATGGGTTTTAAGCCTCTGAGTCTGGGACTAGAACCACAGTTGACTACATGGGAGTCCAGCAATGTAACCGTTACGCCATTTGTTGGTCCCCACAACTAGTCTGACTTCTAACAGCAGAGATTAGTTTTGCCTGTTCTTTATATGAATAGGATCATAAAGTAAGCATGTCTTTTATTTAATGTAATATCTGGGAGATTCATCCATCTTTTATGTAGTAACTGAAGTTCATTAATTTTGTTTTGTTTTCTTTTTTTTTTTTTTGGAGAGGTTTTTGCTATAGGGTTCGTGCACTTGCCAGAAAGACAGAGAGAGACAGAAAGCGAGAAATCACCCCCTTCAGGGGGATGGCCATGCCGCAATCCCTCCTCCTCCTTTCTCCTCTTGGGATCTTGGGCATGCACGCACACGCACCCGATGTGAGTTTAAGTCACTGGGTCCAGGGCTCAAACTTTGGTCAAGTACACGGGAGTCCAGCCACATAGCCATTACGCTAACTGCTGGTCCCAAGTTTATTTTCATTGCTGTATAGTATTCTACTGTGTCACTAAGCCACCATGTATTGTATTTATTCTATTATCAATGGACATTTGGAAGTATCCAGGTTTCATTCATAATGGATAGTGTTACTATGAATATTCTTGTACTTGTTTTCTGCAAACAAAAATATGCATTTCTCTGGGTGCATACAGGGGTAGAACTTTTACATGATGAATTTTATGTATGCTCAACTTTAGGAGATAGTCCCAAAATAGTAGATAGCTCAGCGTTTGATTGCACCAATGGAAGCCGCCACCATCACTGAATCAGAATTCTGGTTGTTCAGTATTAGCAGCTTTTAAATTTTAATCCATTTTCTGTATGTAACAGTCTTATTGTAGTTTTAGTGTGCATTGTTGTGATCATTAACGAAGTTAACATTTTTCATATGTTTGTTGGACATTTCAGTAACTTCTGCTGTAAAGGGCCTATTCAAATCTTGTGTCCACTTTTTAAAATTATTATTATTATTTGATAGAGGAAGCATGTGCTCACCAGAGAGAGGCAGAGAGACAGAGAGAGAGGGAAAGGGGAAAAGCACTCCCCAATGCGGCATAGTCTCACCACAGATGGATCCCAGCAGTCTGCTCTTCCATCACTTTATCTCATCAGAATTTGGGGCACACAGACACACATGTCCAGTATGTGTTTCAAGCTGCCAGGGCCAGGATTCGAACCGCCTTCTGATTATTTGGTTCCTTTCACATTTAGGTCACAGAACCAGTCCTTGTGCCCATATTTCTATTGGTTGTCTTTGACTTGTCTTGTTCTTTATATATCCTGGATATGAGAGCTTTGTGACTATTTTTCTCTCATTCTTTGGCTTGCTTCTGAAAGCATTTTGAATTTTTTTTTTTTATGTATAGCATAGAATAAGAAACTCAAACGTCTTTGCCTAAATTGGCTGTTAGCTGCCCTAATACCACCATTAGTAAAAATCTCTCTATCCCCCTTTTGTTTGTTTATGCTTGTTTGATTATATCTAATGCCAAGCAGAACATTTCATTATCTTTCTTGGTCCCAATTCCAAACCTCCAGGAAAGAGAATCTGATTGATCCAGCTCTTTTCAGGTATATAATCTTGATCCAATCGGCTGTGGCTGAAGGATAGGGTCTCATGGAATGAACACAGTGTTAGGGCCCCACCCATATGCAGTGGAAGGACAGCTAAAGGGATCATTGTAAGCAAGAAGACATCCCCAAGAGGTAGCAATCTGTTGCTCTGGTAAACAGGGTATTTTCATTCTAGTTCAGGTACTAGCCAGAAGACAGAAAGTGGTGGTTATGTTAGTAAACAACTGCTTCTCATTTAGCCGGGAGAATGAGGACACTCCCTGCTCCTGTGGGTTTGTAAGATAGCAACTGGAGTTTATGAGTAAGAGCCAATGTTGCCTTGGGAACCAGCAGTTAGCGTGATGGCTATGTCGCTAGACTCCCACGTAGTCGACCGTGGTTCGCATCCCGGACCCGGTGGCTTAAAACTCATGCCGGGCGCGTGTGCGTGCGTGCCCAAGATCCCGAGAGGAGAATGGAGGAGAAGGGATTGCGGCGTGACCATCCCCCCTGGGGGGTGATTTCTCGCTTTCTGTCTCTATGTCTCTCTCTGTCTGTCTGGCGAGCGCATGCGCCCTATAGCGAAAACCTCTCCAAAAAAAAAAAAAAAATAGAGCCAATGTTGCCTTGCAGGGACTCGAAGTCATTCAGCATCCATTCATTCATCCAATATTTGCTGAGCATCTGCTATAACCCGGACACTGCTTAGTCCTTGGAGTGTAACTC